TCAAGTTTCCCTCCAAGCCGCTCACCATCTGTCTTGGAAATATATCGCTATTCCTTTTACTGGCTGGGTCAAATTCTTGACCTTTCTGAGGGCCTCGTGGGTCAACCTACAGTATGTGGACTGCAGTGGTTCAACAGCTCACCACCTCAAGGGCAAGTAGGGATGGGCAATAAATGCTGGTCAGCCAGCCATGGCCATGTTCCATGACTTGATACAAGAAAATCTTGGAGCCATCATTGAGTGCAAAGTTCCTTTGTCAAGTTTCTATATATGTATATTGGGGTTTGCCTTGAGATTATGTGCCACTGCCAGCTACTTGTATGGCAGATAAAAATCAGTCGTTAGCTGTTCCACAATATGCATGTGCCAGGTCTGCTAGGCTTGCTTTCAGGACGTCAGCTTGTTAGATGACTTTTTGATAAATAGTATCTCAGATCTTTATATAGTGATGTCCCTTTGTTCAATCTGTTTCTTGTATCCTAGCTTCGAGTGCAGACAAAGCTTCAATTTCTTGCCTCTTTTTAGCAATGTTTATAGCTGAAATCAATCATCCCTAGAATCAATGTTAATTGTGGCTCAGTTGGTAACACTCCCCTCTGAAACAGAAGATATTGTGTTTAAGTGCATAAAAATCCAGACTGATGTTCCAGTGTACTGCTACAGGAGCACTGGACTGTCAGAAAAGCTGTCTTTCGGTTGAGATGTTAAACTGAGGTGGATGTTAAAGATCCCAAGGCACTATTTCAGGGAAGAACAGGAGAGTTATCTTTCATGTCCTGGCAACATTTATCCCTCAGTTGACATCACAAAACATTACCTTACTTTCAATTATCCAATGGTTTCTGAACAAACATTCATACCTACAAGCTGTTCAGCTTCCAGGGTGCCAGTCACAGTTGTTGGCAGGCAGAACTCCTTTGTCTGCACATTTTAAAAAGCAAGTTACCAAGCCCTCATTGTAAGTGCTATTTACACTACTGTTTCTTCAAGCAGTAGGCTTAGTACAGATGAGCTGAGGCAGAGGATAATGAAGGGTAATTCAGGGGACAACAATGTGATATCTGGTTGTTATCACATTGCTAAAATTGGCAGAATTTGGATGTTAGTCTGCGATACAGATACAACAAAAGCAGAAGTATCTTTCCAGCAAAACTGCTCAGCATCTTTTCAAACCCTTCAGATTCTTCCTAAGTGTGATTCCTAAAATTGGAAACAGTGCTCCAGCTGAGGTCTAATTTAGATTTGCCACTGTAAGCAGTATTAGACCAATAGTGTACATTGCAAATTTGCTGATATATAGTATCTAAAATGTTGGAGGGCCCTAGTGATGCAGTGTTAGTCTCCCTACCTCTGGACTAGAAGGCCCTGGTTCAAGTCTCAGCTGTTCTAGAGATGTATAACATCTCTGAACAGGTTGATTAGGAAAGATTTATGTCAAATGTTTGATATTAGCTTTACATTTTGCCAATTTTCTTTGCTTTCAAGACAAAGACCAGATTGCTCAACAATACTAAATACCCTTCTGGTAGTTGGAGCAAGAAATCAGTCTCTTTGCAATCATAACAAGCTCACCCTGCTTTCAGCAGTTTAGCCTGAAAGATGGGCTATTAAACCACCTTGTAGCCTCTTGGCCAATGCATCCAATGACAGCATGTTAGCATAAATGTGGGATCAATTGCAGCAACTTGAAATCATGACAGTTGCAAGAAAAGAAGGCTAGGTATTCTTTGATATGATTTTTTGATGGTCAAATACATGGACCTTTTAAGGTCAGTGAAATGGTCATTCCCACTACATCTTTGTTCGCTTTGTTTTGCTCTGTTACATTCTTCTGCATCGTAAAGACAGTATCATTTTAATTTTCTAAATTGGATTGAAATGGGAGAAGGACTGTTATAAAAAAAGATTGTGGAAAGGCCTATTGCACTCTTAAAAAGCAAGTTAACGGATCCTTGAATGTGCTGTTTACACAGCTGTTGCTTCAAGCACTGGGGGAGTTTACTACAGATGAGTTGGGGCAAGGGGGCAAGGGGTATTTACGAGGGGTGATTCAGTGGGGAACAAGTAGTTGATTGGTCTGTGGATTGGTAACCAGTTGCCAATGACAAAGGAGTTCTGCCTGCCAACAACTGTGATTGGCACCCAGGCAGCTGACTAGCTTGTGGCAGGGAATGCTGTTCGGAAGCCATTGGACATTTGAAAGCAAGGAGCTGTCCTTTTCAAGCCTGTAGAAAGTCTGTTTATTTCCCCTCATCAATTGCTGTAAGCTGCGGGGCATTTAACGAATAAATAAGAGACTTTATGAATGGAACCAGTCACTATGTATTCTCCTGAAGCATGTGAAAATACCTGGAGAAGGAAGATCGACTTCTAACAAACCAAAAGGATGATCTAAATGAACTATGTGGACAGGGACCATTGAATTGCCTTCTCAGTCTTTCCCTCTGGTCTGTCTGTGTATATGTGTGTATTGGTGGAGTTTTATAAAGAAGTTAGAGTTTTAACTAGTAGAGTTATTTGTCAGTGACTCATAACTGTTTATCTGTAGCTAGAATCTATTTATTTGTAATAGATAGTAATTCTTATTGAATACTGAAAACCTGGTCTGTGCTTTCTGTCAACCTGATCAACTGGGGAGTCTTGAGTACTTTTTATAAAATCTTTAAATTTTGTGATGACTTTGGGCATAGCAGAGCATGATTTCCAGGGAGGCAAAACAGCATAAATGCCTCCTGTCTTGTGCTTTTCCTGCCTCTCAAACATTCAATTTTGCACCTTACTTGTTCCTGGTCTCTGCGTCCCTTTTCTCATCTCCTTACAGTATCTTCCTCTTAATTTTGTAACTGTTGTGCATTTTCTTGTGCAGTACCAATTTGCATTCTTGTGCTTTCATTTGCCATCTAATCCACTTTGTGCCCAAGTTTTTAGTGCAATTTCTTCAGGTGGTTTGAGTGTTTGTCGAAGTAATCATGTAATCGGTGTGACGCCAATACCATTGTCAGCACCAGACCTTTCCTCGGGCAGAGGATCTTGCTAGTTACCTTTAAACAGTGGTTTCAGAAGTGCAGATATGAATTGCTGTCGATGGTCAATTTGGGTTGGTTTAATTGTAGATGTGATTTCTTAGCTTCACTCCACAGCATAGCAAGTGCCTGTCACCAGCCTTTCAAATGCCTGACTGGCACTTAATTTGATGGAGCTTCCCTAAAACTGGTAATGAGAACTCTTGATGGCTCTCCAGCTAGAGGGTAAGACTGTGTCATCTCCAATAAATATTGCCCCAATAGTGGAATTTTGTAAATACCTGTATTTCGAAACAGTCTGTTACAGTTTTCACAAGGAGATCACTGGAGAAACGTGAAGTACTTGTAAGGATATCATAGATTCTGAAGAACAGGTTTACAATCATATTACTTATAGTGCACAGAGATGATTTCACCCTTAGTTTTTTCATTGCACCCTTAATTGTATCAATGAGGCCCTGTTGATCATCCCTTGAGGAATATCTGTTTACTATTACGTAGTCTATCCTTGCTGCTTGAAAACCCTAAAGGGCTTTGGATTTATTGACTGATCCAACCATATATTTTGTACACTAAGAAACAAAGAATATCTTACAGGTCCTGCAGTAGATTTTGTATAGAGTCATAGAGCTGTATGGCATGGAAACAGATTCTTCAGTCCAACTCGTCCATGCCGAACAGATACCCTAAATAAATCTAGTCCCATTTGTCAGTATTTGGCCCATATCCCTCTAAACCCTTCCTATTCATATACCCATACAGATACCTTTTAAATGTTGTAATTATACCAGCCTCCACCACTTGCTCTGGCAGATCATTCCATCCACGCACCACCCTCTGCTTGAAAAGTTGCCCCTTAGGCCCCTTTTAAATCTTTCCGTCTCACCTTAAACGTCTGCCCTCTAGTTTTGGATTCCCTCACTGTTGTGAAACTTGTATTTACACCAGTTGCTGTTATAATTTTCCATGTGATACAACATTTTGTCTCATATTCATAATTACTGTGTAATTATGTGATCTGTTTACAATCTATTGTGCTTACATTTATGTGTCCAAAGCAGCTCAAGCAACAATAAGGAATTCATGGTAGGGTGCCACTGAAAAAGGCTAGAGAGGTAGATAGTGGACATTCTCTTACTACTATTATGTGGGGAGACTGCGCAGTAAAAGCTGGTGGGCTCCCTGTGGGCCCTAGGGATGACCCTTTCTAATCAGGCACTCTGAGTGCCATGGAGTGTCTCCCTAAGTCCATTTGCGACAAAGCTGCTTTAAGAGCCAGATCGCACCCCGCTAACCCCACCCCCCAAAAAAGTGAAGTCTGCCTGACTGCCAAGCAAATTCAGCCTTCATACAAATGGTAGAGAACAATGTTACATTGTTTTGCAATATACTGGTTGCTTGATTGCACACACAGACCTCTAACAGGCCCTATTGTTGCAAAGTTCAAAGTGCTATTCCAGGTGCAACCACAATTTGAAATGACAAATTGCAAACTTTGCCGTGAGATTGTTTAAAATGAATAGTTTGGAAGTTGAAAATGATTTTCCTGATCCTAAGACAAAGCTGCACCTGTTAAGTATTGTCTAGAGTTGATATTCAGCAAGTTCACATAATAATGGTCAAATAGCTTAAGTTATTATCTGGCTAAAATATAGATTTCTTCCCTCCGTTTGCCAATTTTATTGAAATCAGGTGACAAAGAACTTTGTGGATCACAGAGTCCATAGCAAAATTATTTGAGTTGAATTTTGAATTTTCCAGCCCTACAATGAGACTTGAGGATCTCAAATCTACAAAAAAATTTATCTTTTCTTTGGTATCATTCAATCACCATGGATTTTCCTTAGCTGTTGTTTCAAGCATTGTGATGTCCTGCAGTGTAGGTCTTAACCCTTTGGCTTGTGCCTTCAATAAAAAAAGTGACAACTTATACATCGGCATCTTCTTAAAAACTTTTATTTTTACACGATTGCGCAGGTAAATCGAGATGGAGTAATAAGTCGTGCGCCAGACCAGAGAGAGGACCGCAACATCAGCTTCCAGAATGCCTCTGCCTTGTATGATCTCTTGAGCATAACTATGGGGAGAAGGAAACAGTACGAAATGCTCTCAGAAGTAAGCAATTTATGTTATTTTTGAATAGGAACATGAGTGGTGTATATCGGTTGACTCAACCTCCCAAGTTTAGATGCAAATTATGCACAGATTGGAAAAAAATTAAACACCTGAATCATACAGTAGTCAGTATAACATGAGGCATCTATTGAAAATTAGGTTTCATTAGTAATTGTGAAGTAGAGTGTGATGAATTCAAACAGATGTACAGGAACATAAACACTACAGCAGAAGATGTGATAATAGTAAGCAGAATGTGGGTATGATCAGTTTGGAGTAAGAAAAATAGAGCTAATTTTCAGATTAGACAAATTCTCTAAACTCACCCTACTTCAAATGATGCTCTCCCTAGATCCTGTACACACACGTCTCAAAATAGACATTTTATAAAACATTTTCATTTCACTAAGGGTTTTGTGCCTACATTTTAAGTTTTCATCTACATTTTAAATCGTGTTTATATATTTAGAAATCTTTGTCAAATCGGAATAGCTCTGAAGCTGAAATAAAAACTGGAATGGCTGGAGAAATTTGTGAGATCTGGCAGCATCTGTGGAGACAAAGCAGAGTTAATGTTTTCCCTTCATTCTGGTTTTCTGCATCTGCAGTTCTTTGTTTTATTTTACTGTTCTAAAGCTGTTCTCCTGCTTAGTTTTGAGTATTGTTCTTCACATTATTGGGCATCTCTAGCAGCTTTTTGATATCGATTTCAAATCTAATTTTATTTAGGCTCATGTAGTTTACAATCTTTCATAACCAATTTGCACTTCAGATATCAGGAGCCTAATGTTTTGTACAAGCTACAGAAATTTGATTTCCATTTGGGATTTTAATTTAGCCCCCTTGATCATGACCCCACCCCCGACCACCAAAACATCATCTTCCAGACCATCCACAATGTCATCACCTCAGGTGACCTCCCACCCACAGCCTCCAACCTCATCATTCCCCAACCCCGCACCGCCTGTTTCTATCTCCTTCCCAAAATCCATAAACCTGACTGCCCTGGTTGACCCATTGTCTCTGCCCGCTCCTGCCCCACCGAACTTATCTCGACTCCATTTTCTCCCCCCTGGTCCAGGAACTCTCCACCTACGTCCATGACACCACCCACGCCCTCCACCTCCTCCAAAACTTCCGATTCCCTGGTCCTCAACACCTCATCTTCACCATGGACGTCCAGTCCCTATATACTTGCATTCCCCATGCAGATGGCCTAAAAGCCCTCTGCTTCTTCTTCTCCCGCAGGCCCGACCAGTCCCCCTCCACCGACACCCTTATCCGCTTGGCCAAACTCGTCCTTACGCTTAACAACTTCTTCTTCAATTCCTCCCACGTCCTACAGACAAAGGAGGTGGCTAGGGGTACCCGCATGGGCCCAAGCTATGCCTGCCTCTTTGTAGGATACGTGGAACAATCCCCCTTCTGCAGCTACACTGGCCCTATCCCCCACCTCTTCCTCCGTTACATCGATGACTGTATCGGCACCGCCTCGTGCTCCCACGAGGAGCTCAAACAGTTCATCCAATTTACTATCACCTTCCACCCCAACCTTAAGTTCACCTGGACCATCTCCGATACCTCTCTCGCCTTCCTGGACCTCTCTGTTTCCATCTCTGGCATCCACCTGGAAACTGATATCTATTTCAAACCTACCGACTCCCACAGCTACCTAGAATACACCTCTCCTCACCCACCTTCCTGCAAGAATGCCATCCCCTATTCCCAATTCCTTTGTCTCTGCCGCATCTGCTCCCAAGATGAGGCATTCCACTCCCAGACATCCCAGATGTCCTCTGTTTTTCAAGGACCACAATTTCCCCGCCACTGTGGTCGAAAACGCCCTCGACCGCATCTCTCGCGTTTCCGCAACTCATCCCTCACACCCCCTCCCCGCAATAACAACAAAGACAGAATTCCCCTCATCCTCACTTACCACCCCACCAACCTTCGGATCCAACGCATCATCCTCCGCCACTTCTGCCACCTGCAATCTGACGCCACTACCAAGGATATATCTCCCTCCCCATCCTTATCTGCCTTCTGGAGGGACCGCTCTCTCCGTGACTCCCTCGTCCACTCCACACTCCCCACTAGTGCAGCCACCCCCGGCACTTTTCCCTGCAACCGCAGGTAGTGCTATACTTCACCCCCCTCGCCCCCATCCTAGGCCCCAAGAAAACCTCCCACTTAAACAGATGTTCACCTGCACATATGCTAATGTGGTATACTGTATCCGCTGTTCCCGTTGTGGCCTCCTATACATCGGGGAAACCAAGCGGAAGCTTGGAGACCGCTTTGTGGAGCACTACTCGGTTCGTGACAAACGACTACACCTCCCAGTCGCGAACCACTTCAACTCCCCCTCCCACTCCTTGGACGACATGTCCATCCTCGGCCTCCTCCAGTGCCACAATGATGCCACCTGAAGGCTGCAGGAACAGCACTTCATATTTCGCTTGGGAACCCTACAGCCGAATGAGATCGATGTGGACTTTACAAGCTTCAAAATCTCCCTACCCCCGACCTCATCCCAAGACCAGCCCCGCTCATCCCCGCCTCCTTGACCTGTTCGTCTTCCCTCCCACCTACCTGCCCCTCTCTCCCTCACTGACCAACCCCCATCCCAACTCCCTACCTACACTCACCTTTGTTGGCTCCATCCCTGCCCCCTTGACCTGTCCATCTTCTCTCCACCTATCTGCTCCTCTACCCACCTTCTAACATCACCTCCCCCTCTCTCTATTTATTTCAGAGTCCTCTTCCCCTCCCCCATTTCTGAAGAAGGGTCCAGACCCGAAACGTCAGCTTTCCTGCTCCTCTGTTGCTGCCTGGCCTGCTGTGTTCATTCAGCTCTACACCTTGTTATTCCAAACTCACTCAATCCCAGATTTAACAGATGTAAGACTAAAAGCAACCATTCTCCTTTGAAGATGTGGGCTGTTGAATTAAATGTTACCATGAGTTTGCTGTCCTCCTGTTTTACCTCTGCCCTGGGTATAATCCCCAGCTGGCTGGATTTCCCATGCCTTGGGAAACCTGGCAGGTAAAAGTTGATGAGAAAAACTTTGAGAAAAAATACCTTCATATCACTCCAGAAGGAGCAGGAATTTACCTTCTTCCATGCATTGGATGCCCCCATCCACTTTCTCTCTTGAATGCAACAGGAGGTTCCTTACATAAGCTTGGTCTGTACTGGAGTACCCCTGACTGATAGGCAGCCAAGCCTGGAAAAGTCAGTGAACCATGAAAGTCAAGCTGACTTTAGGTAGGGACCCAATTGGGGTTAAACATGGATGTTGTGGATCCAGTGTCCACACTACCATGAGAATATCCTGAATTCTGAGTTTGTGAACCAAAATTCTTACCCACCTCTGTTTACAGTACAAATTGGGGCCAATATGTTGGGAAATTGTCTTTGTCTTTTTTTTTGTAATTATTTTCTAATCTGATGAGGTGTTCCTAAAAAAAATTCATATCATGCAACCTAATTTCCAATTTTACTTGGATCAATAAATTATTTCATCGGTTTTGTTTCTTTCATAGTGTTAAGACCACAGCAGAGTTAATAACCAGTTGAATGACCGAGTCCATATTACACTGTTACTATCTTCAGAGAAGAAGGCAAAAAGCAACATAAGCGTCACTTTGTTCCACGGATATTTCCAGGAAATCTTTCAATAAAGTTTTTATTAGTATCATGTGTAAGATGCTCTATCAGGTAGTTCTCTTCCATTTACCAAATACTGTCATCTAGAATTACCTGGAAGGAAAATCACTTTGAGTGGATTGGTGCAGACACCTGGAGTCCCTCTTAAATTGGTATCATTTTGTATTTCTTCTGTGCGTAGAGACTGCAGAATTAAAGAACAAGAGAGATGACTGACCTTATAAAATCACCTGCATCTTCCAATTGCCATAATCCTATTCTTTTGTAAGGATCTAGAGAGTTGTGGGAATTTGTGTAGAGTTATTTGTTAGTTCTATTTAAAACGACTATTCCAATGGAACAGATCTGAGCTTAAAGCACATTAGAAATAGGCTACGTGGAGCACTAGCTGTATCTAAGATTATACCAACATTTGTAGATGCATGGTGACCTAGAACATAACATCCTCCTTAATATCTGTACATTCAGACAATGAAGGCCATCCGTTTAACTGGGACAAAGTAACCATAATAGCCCAAGCCAAACATAGACATGCACGGGAATTCCTAGGGGCGTGGTTCTCCACCCATACTTCAATCAACATATAGAATTGGACCCCATATATTAACCCATACAGATCAAAACCAGAAATGTCAGTACTCACCATAACGGACCAGACAGTATAAATTCCAAGCAGAGTAGAACAACATCGCCTCGTCGGAGGCTCCACTGATGATGTCATCTAGCATGGTGACGAAACGTCTGAACAAAAACAAGCCAGCTCGGCAAGCAAGTCAACAACTTCATCCACAACCCGAGCTACAGATCTTTGCCACTGCTTCAAATAACATCCTATGATCCACATCATATATGATCACATATCATTTATCACAAAGAAACTTCCGAACAAGCCCTAGTTGACAGATGCAGCAATGTTAAGCCAAAATATGGGTGGTTTTGTTGTTAATGAATACCCACTAAGCCCAAGATTGAGTTGGTGCAGACTCATTAGACTTTAGTACCTTTAGTACCAACAAGACTTTTTCAGCCTTCAAAATACCTCACATCTTTTCCTTTCATGATCCTTGTGTTAGATTTCACAGATCAGTCTGTCATAATGTCTTTAAGAGACATGAACATGATATCATGATATTATAGCATGTGACCTAAGGGTGTTTGAAAAAAACCTCATACACCATCTGATCTCCGATCACTTGAAGCAAGAAAGTTGACTGGAGCATGCTCCTGTCTTCTAACCTGGCAGCTTAATAATAGCACAGATACTTGGGTGCTTGAGGAGTGTAATGTTTCTACATAATCAATGTAATAAATGCCTGTTGAATTCTTCAGT